GGGGGGTGGGGGGGTGGTTTTGGTTTTTTTAAGAGATTAAAAAATGGCTGCAATAATCCCTGATGCTAGCCTGTATAATCAGAGAGGCTACACTGCCAGAAGTCTGGAAAAGCTTGAACTTCCAGCAGGGTCATGAATGAAAGCTCATTGTAGTATCGTGCATTATTAGCTCATACAAGTAACCCCATCAGTTAGCAACTAAAAGTATGGTAGAAATGCCCAGCCCTAGCTCCACAGCTACCTTACTTTCAAATGCAGCAAAACAGAAGAAAATACTGTTTAAAGTTAAGGCACAGCCCTGGGACCAAAGACCTGCAGCTTTTTTTACTGATATATCTTTATGTATTTTATACTTTTCTTGAATCTTCCATAAACAAGCTCTAAGGTGACATTGAATATATTACAGGAGAAAAAAATGTACAAGGAATATGTATACACAATAATCATTCTCTCACCAAGAGTTTCCAAATATAGCAACACCACCCTGACAAGGATGATGTTATAATAAGAACTGATAATTTACAATTAACATTACAGTATATACATTACAATAAATACATGGTTGTAAACAGAGACAAACAAGACTGTATTACAGGTAAGGTCATTTGGTGAGAAAAATGCATGGCACAAATAAATAATGCATTTGAAAAGAACTGTCAAAGCTTTCCGTAAAATCCATTACATTCAAGTTTTTTAAACTTCTGAATGCTATTTGTTCTATCTATATTCTTTCATTTTTTAATGACAGAAAACAATTTAAGAATTCAAACACAGCATTATTGAGTACAGTAACTTGCAAGCTAAAGTGTACTATTATAAGCAAGGTGAATATGCTTTCCCCCTCTCACTCAATATTATGGCAAAAATATTTAGAACACATAAAGCCACTTGTAAATTGTATTGTTTTAAAGCAATGTGCAATGCTAAAATACACTTTGGCAAAAGAGGAAAAAAAAAGATTGTACAGTGCATTATATCCCCAGCTCTAAGAAATGACGTAATTTTCTATTATTTGATTGTCTACATGTATGGATGAATATCTCACAATATGGTATTACTCTTTTCATTTACTTTCAATTAGTGCAGATACAAAAGCTTTTCACATCCCTATTGGCTATTTTGGAATTTATATTGCTTTTCCATTATTAAGGTTCCAGGCACTCTTGGGGATTGAAATGATTTTTAGATGGATCACGTTCAGGAAGAAATGATGAAGAACAAAACAAAAAAAAGAATCAAAAACTGAAAAAACCCCCATGAGTTCTCTTCATTCTCCTTCCTCCTTCAGCATCTTCTGTGCTAAGGCCCTTTGAGGGCTAAAGGTAGAGAAAACTATGACCTGGATACAGAGGAACACAAAATGCATTTAAAAGCTGAATTATTAGCCCATCATTTTTAAACAGGTTTTTATTCTAGATCTCAGACACTAAACCCCTCCCTGTATTCATATCTGCAAATTTACTAGAAAATGAATCCAAAGCAGAAATAATGGGTGTTGCGATCTTCTTAAGAAATCATCCTGATTTTGTCATTTTACCAGAATCTTACAGAGTAGGAGTCTGTTAGCTTCCGTAGGCAACTTTTTCCCATCTTCTCTGCTCAAAACTATAATTTTAACAAAGAGTAAAGTGGAGGAAATAAAATTCCTTCTTTTTTCATGTGACCAAACAACAGGACTGGAAAATGATAAATATCAACTCCTACCTCCCTTTAACTTTGCAAGTTACAGAAGCTTCACGATTCCCTCATCACAAGCTGGATAAAGGATGAAAAGATCTGAGATTGAAATAATGTGGAGTAAACTACAACTCTCATGATGCATTGCTCTTTTACTTAAAAACATAAAAAGACAAGACCGACCTGAAAAAATAATGCTAATCATTATTTTTGTGTTGTACACATCTCAGATTAGCAAATGGTTTAACCAGATAGTTGACACAGATAAAAAGTTATTATGAGAGTTAAAACTGGAAATATTACACTAATGCTTTTTTCACCAGAACAAGTATTCCATACATTGTATTAGCCTGTTCTGATTTAGCGGTCTATAGCTCCCAGCCAAAAATGGTCTGGAAACCACGTTTCAGAGGGACAAATTTTATTAGTATAGCAGAAGAGCTGCTTTTGTATTAAGACGACAATTCATTACATTTCTTACAGGCTCTAGTCCTGCAAATCCTAATCTTAGTGGTCCCAGTTCGTTGCACTGGGACTACTGCTTGTAGTTAGCAGGATGTAATTGGCAGGATCATGCCACTATGAGGGCAAAAGCAAAACATAAGTTCCTCTAATACATTTGGGAAAATTGTGATGAAAAACAAACAGAGCTATCATACTGTAAGAATTTTATGTAACATAAAGGATATTAGTGGAACTCACTAATATATAAAATAATGGACTTTTACAGCTCAATATTACCATGAGATTCTAAGGTGCAAAAAAACAGAAGGAAAGGGAAAAAACCTAGAAGTATTATCCAGTGTAGCACAGATTTGTACTGAAAACTTGCAAGTTACTCTTTGGAAAAAAAAATAACCAGTGGCAGATGAAGTCTGAAAGTGTTTTTCTTTAAATATAATACCTCGGTACATTTAATAATAAAAGTAAGCTCTACAAAAGATCTCTCTTTTACATATTATACAAAATGCAGAGGTTAGTGCAACCCACTGGGTCACACTTTTTTCAGTCACGTATCAGGAAGACTTGAAATTAGAAAATTATGCTATTTCCACAGCTCATCTTCCTATTGGTAACAGAATCATGTCGTGTCCCATCATTTATGTGCATTTTTTTCCAGTAGGAACCTCAGTTTATTTTCTGTTTCCTCTCATGATGAACACTATCCAATCCTTTGCTTGTGAAATACAATGAATTCAAAAACTATCAAAGCATATCAGCATTCGATTGGCAGGTGTTACTTCTCTGAAAACATTTGCTTTATTTAATCAAATCTGCCAAATGGAGAGCTTATTAAAACGTAGTTTATGGATGTTCTCCCCCCTGCTTTCTGATGCCATGGAGGTGAAAATTCTGGTTACAATATTCCTGAGTGCCAAACTGAGTCATCAACGTCAGTTTTGATCAACAAACGTCCTGGCAGATGACAGCGAGTTGACCATGGTTGTAGCATATGACATACACTTTGGAAACCATTACCTAATTTAAAAAAAACAAAACAAACAAACCAAACGAACAGAGAGAAAGAAGAAAAGAAAGAGAGAGGGCAAGAGAGAAAGAGACTGCGTCTTCATTGTTACGTGTCAGGAGAATGGTCTTCTACCACACAAGGTTCTGTCTGGTTCTCCTCCTCTTCTACTTCTTCCCCTACTTGCTCATCAAGAGGAATTTCAGTAGATTCTGAATCCTGGGTGCAAAGAGTCTTGGAGTCACTGCAGCTGGTGTCTTCTTCTACTTGACTTCCACTGTCCTTTTCAGTGTCTGACTCACCATCTTCCTCCAGTGTTAGTTCAAACTGGAATTTTTCAGTTTGGCCCTGCCTACCCTCTTCCTGATCATCAGGTGCAGGAGAGGGACTTTGAGGGATTGTGCTCTGGTACCATTCTCGATTGTCCTCCAGTGTATCTAAGATATCCTGGGCATCTGGGTGAACAAGATCTGCCCACGTCTCCCACAGAGGGTGAACAATGTAGTCTATAAAACCCACCTGTTTCAAATAATACAAAATTAGGATAAGCTCTTATTCACAAAGAAATAAACTATTCCTATAAGTCACGCAAAGTACAAGAAATAAAACGCTAGTAAGAGACACCAGATGCACTACCCTTAAAGGTGGTTGAAAGGAAACCATGCTGTTTTATGTAGTAAATAGAATCTTTTACTTCTCAGAAGTCTGATTCAGGATAAGGACTTGGAAAGGATTTGTTTGCAAATGAACTGTTCATTCCAAACAACTCCACTGCATCTAGTGAGCCAAACAGCTGCTTTATATTTAATTCTGCTTCTGAAGGAAACCCTATTGAGCAGCTATACAATACTCTCTTTTGACATGTATGCAATCTTGCAGGTCACGACAGTGATAGACTCCCTTCAGCAAACAGACTGCCATGCACTATGTTTTCGCAGTAAAAATCTCAGCTTCCCTCACTTGGTACTCAGGAGCTGAATTAACTAACTAGGAGGAAAAAAAGGAAATAGTGCATTCAGAAATTAATCAAAATATGGCTATGGACCATCCTTTTCTGTTAAAATGTCATACCCTTTTATTTAACTGTCTACTCAAATTAATTACCTGTGATTTTTCTACAGATGCATTGTGCTTATCACACATGGGACTTATCTCCATTCCCCTCTCTCTTTCCCGATCTCCCTGGCGGAAAAATTCCTCCATTATTCTGTCTGTCCATTGGCGGTAGAGATGGAGTGGCTTGGTTGGATTGCTTAGGTCTGCACAGTGCACCATATTCTGAAGAACCTAAAATAGATTGAACACCTGCAGTGTCATTACACTGGAGAAAACCATCTCCTTTTCCATTTACGCTTTTGGTACCTGTGAAACAGAATCTTGAAAATACATGCAGCACAAGATTTTATTCTAAACAGCAAAAACTTATGTGCTTGGGTGTTTTTCACACTTGCAGTAATAGCCATGAATTACCTTGCTTCTGCTGCTTCTGCCTGTACAAGGGGTGGAAAATTTTTGAGAGAAAGGCCAAACAGGTGCTGTTAACTTGAAGGGAAGGCCAAAGCCTCATTTAGTCCAGAAGTACTCTAGCACCTTGTTACCCTCTCAGCGAGTCACTCAGTACCAAACAGAGTATGCCACAGGTAGGAAACGTAAGAGAGAGGAGAGGGAAGGTACTGGAGGTAGTCATGGTGTCGGAATGGACAGCTAATATAACCCATGCTGGAGAATGGGCAGGTCAATGTTATTAAGGGTGTAAGTTAATACAAGTGACCATTTACAGATCAATTTTCTTACCTGAATCCTGTCTGAATAGTTATCAAGAAGTAGGACACCAGAACTGGTCACTTTTTTGGTTTCAACCATAGTTTTTAAATCAGCCAATAGATTCATATGCTTAGACATGTCTGTTGCAAGTACCTTGAAAGAAACAAACAAATAAATGAGTATTATGTAAATCACTCATTAAAAAAAATAATAATCTTTGAACACATAAATAAACAGTTCTGGGGGGAACCCATAACTCCTGTGTCTGAATACACTATGAAAGTCTGAGTCCTGTATATCATTAGTGTCCAAAATAGTAAGTTTTCATTTTGGTTATTTAAAGAATTTGACAAAACAGTTGTTCAGAATGATCTGATCAGCCTAAATTCAACATCAATTCAGAAGCAAATTTCTAACTGTGATGGTGAAATAGCATACATGTCAGTGCAAAACCAGCTTGAAGCAGGATTGTATACCTTCTAAAAAGGTATAGATGGTTATTGAAACTGAAAAGAACCCACTATTCATCTTTGGATAAGACACGATAAAACTTCAAACTTTTACATCATTCCTTATGAGACTAATGACATGCAATTTATCATAAAATACTTCTGTGCTTTATTATTCAATTTGCTAGCACTATGGAAGAGGAACTCTCAAGCAGAACTCACAATGTCAATGACCATTTTTCTCAATGATTGTCTCTGTTTTTTGGTCAAATTCTGGAAAATGTCACAATTTTCTTCCTGCAGTAGCTTGAAGCCCACAGCTAAGTGATGATTCTCCAGTACTGATGAGTCATTGTACATCAAGGCGAGTTCAGAATCTGCAGTAACAATCGCAGGGTAGAATGTTACTAAAGCCGGTACTCCTACCAAATCCCTTAAGGTTTTCCAAATTCATCACATTCATAACAAGATTTACAGATGAACTTTTAGGAACAGAGTTCCTGTAGTTCACACAGTATCAAAAGTCACAGAATTAATGACTGAACATCTTAACAAATCAAGGTGACGTATGTTGAGGAAAATAAAGAAAACACTTTGCAGTGAAGTATGTACACGTGCCTGGAGTGACAAGTTAGAAAAAATACAAGCAAGGTATTTTTTAAAATACATTTTCATATCTGCATGAGGTCACATGGAAAATATTATATGCATAAACACACCTAAAGTGACACATACTCTGATGTTTTCTCTTCTTATGCCTCCCTCTGTCACAACTATTAAAATTCCATTGTTTAACTAAAGTTGCAGCTACCCAGCACTCAGACCTGGGAATACACAGCTAAGGCTTTGCTGCAGGTCAGGGAGAAAGCACACATCTTGGTTTTCAAATCATGTACTTCTGCAGTTAGCTAAGGCACTCAGATGCCTAGCCAATTAGGCCAACAGGTCATTAGTCCATGACAATTGGGTATTTTGAGAGGAGGCTGGCAGGTTGGTAACAGCTACACTTCTGGTCTTTTTCTTGGAAGGTCATGCAGCTTCAAAATGCAAGCAGTGGCCTTGCCTCCTGCCTTGTACTTGAGCATGGTCAACGCCTGATGCAGTAACGCTGCCTTCTCCAACAAAGTACTCTTAACTTGGTCACCCCATATGGCTGTGAGAATTACATACACCTTCCTAGCAATGCCTGTGCTAAGGCACACATGCAAGGTCTGCATTTGTCTGCTCAGACATGATGAACAGCCAGCTCTGACAAGTAAAACTAGTTATGAAAATTTTCTGCACAGCTTTAGCTTCTACCTGGGGATATCGCACAGTCAGCTTGTGTATGTTTTAAGACACAGCTTGCAAATGAATCTGTCATAAAAAACAAATACTTTTTATGCAATCACACTTGTCATGTGTGATACTAACCTCTATTTATTACAGCTGTTCTATCCTCCATCTAACCATACGTCAGTCTATTTTACTCTTTGTCCTCTTTATCTTCTTTTACAGCAGCTTTGTTTTAAAATCCCTCTGGCTCAATGGGGTGCCTATAAAAACTCTGCTCTTCAGATTTCATTAGTCTCATTATCCATTCTCCTGCTGTCTTCCTCTCTTGTCTTGGATACACTGAACTTTTGAATCAGGAAACCTTTCCTCTACCTTTATCCCGATGGTAGCAAAACCATAACAGCAGAAGGAAGACAAAAGCAAATTTGTCAAATGATCTCCCTTTCGTCTTTCACAGAACATTTACAAAGCTTGCCTACTTGTTGTTTTTCTTACAAAGAAGACAGGCACTAGTTTATTTTCCTTTCAAATAGCCTTCTGATGAGCCCCAACTGCAAAACACTCAACACTGCCAAAATACTTTGGAAGGGCTGGAGCTACAGACAGAGATAAAATGTGCTCAACTTTGTAATCGAGGTAGAAATGGAAGAAAGTTCCCCCTTACTAATCTCTGTAACACATTATAAGCTTCGAGAGTATTTGTCTGGAAGAAGAGAACTACAGTGATCAAATAAGCACCTCCTCTGATGCTAATACAATCCATATTTGTTTGGTTTTTAATAGCATTCAAGATGGATCAGATTTTTAGACAACTGTGTGTATTAACTTTAAATCCTTATGTAAGGCAATGATATTCAGAAATATCACATGTGTAATTATAAAGAATAAGTTGAAATATAGCAAATATGTACATATTTTAAGTAACCGTAAGTCTATTATGCTTTTAAAAAATGTACTCTTATACTTCTTGGTGAAATGTTAATACATTGTAAGGTTCTCTGAAACAGAAAATTAGGTGGAAGGAAATGGATCTTTTAGAGGTTAGGAAAGTCTAGGATTTGAGAGATCTAAATTAGGTGGTCTTTATCTCTGTCTGTGTCCCTACAGTTTCTTCCCTGTACACAGGACAACACAAAAGGGATAAAATCCCTTTGTCTCTTTCAGCTTGGCAACAGCAGTTCCACTTAGTGATGCTGCTTGATTGACATGGAAGCCTTCTCTTACAAAAGCTGAATTGCGAAACCCAAGAAATTTCTTCTAAGCCACTGAATAAGCAGCATCAGAATGACTCCTAACTTAGCTGAATTTCAACTGTCTGCCTAAAAGTGAAAGCTTTATGTACCAGTACTGGTCCCTTCAACTAGCCAGTCATTCTGCTAAAACGTGAACAACTCAGTGGTTTCCCAATAGCACCTCAAAGCGACCAATATATCCTGATACTCAAAAACTTTACTTACTTGTGTCCACTCTTAACAACTTAGGTATTACACACTGTTTTGTGCATAAACCTTGATTCATTCTCTTCCTATACCACACTGCTGAACTGTACTGTTTACCAATAAAGCACCAGAAATCTAAGGTCAATCCCAATTCTCCTCCTTGCAGATGAGTCATTGGACTGAATTCCACTATAGGGTGGCCCTCAGGCCATTAAGGCAAATAAAATTAGATGCAGGCTAAACTGGAGTGGAGCTCTTATTTAAATGTACAGCAGCAATGAGTCAGAAGAGGTGCTCCCTTCTTCAAATTATATTGCTGATTTGGGGTCATGCTATTTTAGCACCAGTGCAATAGATTCACCCAAGTACAGGAACGACAGTATCTATAAATGTGCAACCAGATGGGTCAAATACATAACCCTAGGTATGCTTCCATTTCTGTAGCTTTTTCTTCTTATGTGCTCGGATTATTATTAGTACTTTAGAAATGAAGTTAGAAGAAATGCAAAATAGTACCCAGTTTAAAATACAAACACCTATCTATTTACTGAGCAGAGTTACAGATAGAAGGAAACAAGGACTGAACTATATATTTTTCAGGTGCTACGTGCAGATCTTGCAGCAAGTTTTTGATAAAACCACTGAACATCAAACTTACTTGTGTTGATAAGAAACTGATTTGAAACCCCAGGATGATCTACATCATGTATCGCACTGGCAAAAATTGCTGCAAGAATCTCCAGATCAGTGAACACTGCCTAGAAAACCATGAAACAGAAATGACAATCACTAATCAATCAAAAAGTCTTTTTAATAAAAAGACTCTACTTTGAATCTAGATCTGAACAAGCAAAACACATTTGAAATGTATCATGGATCTCCAGAGATTTTACATATAGGCTATCACAACCTTTTGTAAAGTTGTCAGTTATGTAGAATTTCATAAATATTTCAAGTTTGGCCAAAGTAAAACGATCTTTACTTCACACTGAAAACATCACTAAATTCCCTAACAACTGAAGTTTTTTTCAGCTTCAGTCTGCAAATAAATGCACTTTTAATTAGATCATTTAGTACAGATTAGATCATTAACTAGAGGTTTCTAACCTATAGCACAAATTGAAGTTAAAAATTTCAGCCTGAGTCCTGTCTATTGCTCTATACTTGAAAGATGCATATCTCCTAAATGATGCTAAAGGAAATGGTGACAGACTACAAGGCATCTTACTTAACTTTTGCTGTCTTTTCCTCGGTATGAGATTATGAGGAAGACAGAAAAAGAGGACTGCAATGGACCCGGCATGTCACTGACCACAGTGACCTTTTGTCACAAGCACCCACATTATACAATTGCTTTCATAATTGATCAAGAACAGCTCAGAAGTGTGTAGGTCAGCCGTAGCACTGGGCAGACATTGCTATTTTAACTGGCTAAAGTTCTGTTGAGAACAAGGCCATGAAAAACAGTTGATCTGGAAAACAAGCAAACATGCTACTGACAACCAGTTCAGCTGTCCAGTGAGGCCAGTGGTGATTTAAGATCATAATCTAATCTTTCTTCTTGAGATAAAGAAAATCTTTCCCAAGAGAATTCCAGTCTTTGAGGATCGAGACCTGCCAACAGTCTTAAGGTCCACTTATAACCCTCTTTTTAAGAAGAAGGTAAAGTAGAAGCATTCAGTAACACGAAAGATTGGTCATTACGAAAAAGAGTCAAAAAGCAGCCTTCCTTGAAAATGTGGGCAAATTCTTTTGAACTACTAAAATTTCAACTGCTTGCTTTATCTGCCTTTTTCCAGCAACTTACTGGGATATATCAATGTTTGCTACACTAAGACCTGAATCGTGCTAAAAAAGGGAAAATAATCTCCATCTTTCTTCCACTTCCTTCTACTTTGGAGATTTATGCACTTTTGACATGAGAATTTCTCAGAAAAGAACATATGAAATATTTATGAAAAAAAATGAGTTAGTCCAGTGAAAATTTAGTACATGTTCCACTCTTCCTGAGAAACAAACACAAAAGTACCCTTTTAAGACCAGAATAAATATGCACAAGGGAAAAAAAAAAAAAAAACAAACAAAACCAAAGGCCCTATTGAGGGAATCCCACTTTATGACTATCTTTCCTCAGCAATTAACTAATTGTGGTTAGTGAGAATCCCACATGGGAAATCACAGAACAGGATGTAGTATTAATAATGAGATGGTGGAAACAATTGTGTTACAGTGAAAAAGGTTATGACAGCACAAATCTGCATGACTTAAAAGAAAAAGATGTGATATTTTCTGCACAATATTTACATGTAAATTTGATCCTCACAAAATGTCTTTAGAAGAGCAGAATTCAGGAATGAAATGTTAAGATTTCTTTTAAAAACACTGCAGAAACTAAGACTTTTAATATTTAGTTTAGAAGAGCCTTAGTATGTCGCTTTCTCTCATGCCTGCCTCCTTCCCACGTCAGTGTAGTTTACCTCTAATGCCGGGGTTGACAGCAGGACATGGGTTGACTGAACAACATCTGCAGCATGTATGTTATTGTGATATGCCACATCTGCATGGTAATGGTCTTCTAGGGTCATCAAGTAAGTTATTAAAGTATCTACTGGAATCTTAAACGTTTTTAACAAGTCCCGTTCCTAGAAAAGGAAAAGAGACAAATAAGATTACAAAGCACAGAAAAATCTTTAAGATAAGCAAAAGGCAGCAGAGCTGCTGTTACTTACCTGAAAAATAGTATGCATGATGACTGTCAAAGGTCTGTTTCCAGATAACTCTGCTACTCTGAAAACCTGAAGGCCCCATTTGTTCACATCTTCCAGTTCCTAGAGCAGAATCAAGCAACAAACATGTTGAAACCTAACACACAAATTCTGGTGACACTCTGCTGTCACTGGGCAGTGAGATAGCAAAGTGTGTCAGTTCAGCTCATTCAAGATACTGTAGCATTTTTTCCTCTGGAGCAATCCACTTAAGAGGCAGTCTTTCCTGCTTAGCGAATTAAAATCTGAAAAGTTGGTAGCTGCAAATTCCACTATTGCAAGGTTAGTAGCAGTACCTTCCCCCTTCCAGAGTTTCATAGAATCATAGAATCATTACGGTTGGAAGAGACCTCAAAGATCATCAAGTCCAACCATGTACAAGATGCCACCACGCCCACTAACCCCACTAAACCATGTCTCGAAGCGCCACATCTAAATGTTTTTTGAACACCTCCAGGGATGGTGAGTCCACCACCTCCCTGGGGAGCCTTATGTTCAGCTGAATTCATGTTCAGCCAGCTGTCGACCAACACCCCCAGGTCTTATTTCAAGTGAGACCAGCCTTTGGGGCTACAGCTTGAAATCAACAGTTATAAGCAGTGGATGGAATATTGACAAGCCCACCCTCTATTTTAATTCAATGGTTTAAATGCAAGGATTATATATTACCTACCTTGGCAAGAACATCTTCTTGGTCTGTTTTAACTCCAAATCTGGGAATACTGGAATTAGTTAGGCTGGAGCTGTGCATCAATTTTTTGACTCCACTGATCTGGGACATTGGTCTCTTCTTTTTCTCTTTCTCTTTCTGCGTTGGAGAAGGGATTTCAACTTCATGTTGTTTGTCTTCAAAGGAATGAAGAAAAAGAGAATAATTTTTAAAGGAATTACAAGTATTACAAAATTCACTGTTGAGTGAATCTTACAGATATTGTAATTCTTAACAAAACCTTTTTGGTTTTTATGTTTGGAGATTTTGCAACAGATATTTCATATCAAGAGCTGTAAAAAACACAGAAACATAGACCTATACCTCACAAATTTCACAAATTGACTCATGATTTCTGAACTGGCTTTAAATGTGACATGAGACTGTCTGATTTTCACTTCTCCTGCACTCCTAACACTGTGAAGAGGGTCAATCCTTTCATTATAAAATGTTATAAATGTTATAAATTTCATTATAAAATGTTATTACAACTGAACAGAAATCTGAACTTCCATTTTGCAAGAAAATCTAAGATTTCTTCTTTTCCACAAAAAACACTCTCTGAAATTGTATTTAAAAAACAATCAAAATGGTATTTCATGTAGACCTTTACAAAACATTTTCAGGACTTGAAGGACCTCATACTTGGGGACTGGTCCTGTTTGTGTTAAGACTCCATATAACTCAGAAAGCCTTTTGCCAGCTATGTCTACAAGCTCTTTGGATGTACAGGCAGTTCATGTGTGCATTTCTGCACCTCCCAACCAGAGTAAGTAATAGCAACAAAAGGACTGTTTTGCTAAAACCCAAAATTCTGCTGTGGGCCTTTGCCTCCATAGCAGTATCAGCAGCATCACTTCACAAACCTCAGCAATGTATATGCAAGTCAACAAGGATTAAACTGAGACTAAAGTATATTTAGGCAATTGCCAGCTGACTGCTGCAGAAACAGTATGGGGGTGGGAGATACCTGTAGTGCCCAAAGAAACCCAGGTTAGTGCAACACAGGACTCTCCTGCCAAAACTGCTAGGAATTTGCATTAATTTTTGTTCTTTTTATTCATGCTATATTTCAACATAAGAGTTTTAATGGCTCCCTCCAAATTATCCCTTTGTTGCTGAAATCTACCTGCATCTTTCCTAGGTCTCAAGGAATATTCCAGCAAAACCAGGGGAACCCACAACAGATGTTTCTAACATAGGAGCCTAGCAAAAACTGTGATTTAAAAAAAACCTTAGAACAAAAGACATTAAAAAAAGAAGAAAGAAAATTTGGGCTTTTTAAAACATATGTCTATTCTTTCCTTCCTGCAACAGTAATTTTCAGCAAAGACATTGAAACCAGACAGGGTACCAAGTCCATTTCTAAAGACCAGATTGTTACTGTTTTTCCTTCTTCACTTCCCTTCTTTTTTTCTTTTTTTTCTATTTTTTTTTTTTTAATTACACTTTAGCAGCCGCATTTCCTGACATCTCAAATTCCAAACAAATCACAGAGAAGAAGAGACTGTGGAATTGGCACCAAGCTTCAGCCTGCGGCACCAAGTTCCCCAATTGCCCCCGCCATACTTCATGACTCTCCTCATGGGGACAATCAAGAAAAGGAGGAGGCAGAGTGCTGCAGCTCTCATCTGGTGCAAACCGACAACAGATGAGGAGCAGTGACTCGTGTTTGTGCTTTGATGTTTATGGTTTTGGTCATATGCACAAAGTTTAGAACCATCAAAGGGCGGTTCCTAAGCTGAGCTGTCAGACTAACTCAAGTGAAAGGAAGTGTCTGTCTGAACGATTTTAGATCTCCAGAGGAATTCCACAGGACTGCCTCTGCTTTTGTAACTACGAGCACACAGGGTAAAGGATCCTGCACCCATCTGAACATCCAGAAAAGACAGCTTGCCGTTTTGACCCTGGTTGTGCTGTGCTCATTAGCAGGTTCTCTTACATTTTCCGTTCATAGGAAAACAGGTTAATGATACTGAAAAATAAAAACATTGCATATTATTATACTCAATGTAGGAGCCTTAATGCTTACACAAGGAACATATTTCTTGTCATTATGAATAACTTCATACATGTCATATAGCCCTACTTGGTTAAACAGTCTTTATTTATTTATTTTTTTTTTACTTTTTTTTGAAGAGTAAGATGAACAGAAAAACCTGTTTTCTCATGAGATGTTTATAACTTTCAAATCTGAGAGTCTATAGATGTTCAGGAGAGAAGATTTTTGTATTAAAAAAATAACTAACTAGACTCATTAAAATTTTCTATGAAGAGAATGTTTTCCCTCTTCACATTGTTGCTCAGAACCTTTATACTTAGATTGCATATTTTGAAAATACTCTACTTAAGCAGTAATTCTGTAGATGAGGGGTTTTCCCCATTGTATTCCTCTTGCACCTACAATTTTAAGTATCCTAATTTTTCATGCAGCTACAAAACAGTAGCCATGGCTCCAGAACTTAGAAATGATAGCCCTTCCAGACCTCTTTCTGCTCAAGACTGAGGTCTTGTGAAAGACCGACAGATGCATTTCCTTACTCTGTCAAAGTAAGCCTTAAGTTTTCAAGTAAAAGCAAGCAGAAACTAGTATCTCGGTCTTTTCAGCCTAAGTAGGTCATCTTCTCAAGCAACTGCACACTGTGACTTTCAGGGCTCCTGAGGCTGTGCAATATTGCTTCTCCGTGACAGAGGCTCATCCCTTTCTTTTGTCTGAAACCCTGCTGTGCTGCAGTGCTCAGGCACGCTACTGCAATCATGGGTAAACTGAACAGACACATTAAGCGATCCACTTAGGATATGGTGAAAAGCAGGACAAAATGTACTTAAAAAAACCCCTGCTTCTTTCAAAAAACACAAAAAGCACCAACTATGGTATCTCACACAAATAAAACAAGACATATCTTAACATGTATGACTGGAACTTTTTTAAGTACTTGTTATCCTAATTTAGACGTATTCAGCTGTGCTTCCCCTTATAACCTTACAGTCTTTACGAATCAGTGGTGTTTTGCTCAAAAGATGTTTGAGATTGGTATATTATCTTTGTCTTCATGTTCAAAATCAACAGTATAGAACCTACTTTTATTCATTTTCACTAGTTTTAGCAAAAAAAAATAATACTTCCTTCTGCAAAGCCATACAGCAGG